TGATTATAGGATTTGCAGCACTTGAAATATTATTAGTGTCATGCAATGTTTCGGTCAAATCCTAAAAGTAAATGTATAAAATTGAGAATTAATTTATATATATATAGTTAACCTTAATATAAGAAACTGTTAATAGCTTATGCTTCTTACTTTTCTGATTGATTTTTCGGTTGAATTATTCGAATTTTCCAATACATTTGCAGCCAAATTCTAAATTATATAATAAAATTGTAAAAAAATCAATTATATATAAATATATAATCTAAACATAAAAATTAATCGTGCTAATAGTTCTAGCTTCTTACATTTTTGATTGTTTCGTTATTTGGAAATTCTAATGGTAAGCTTACATTTCCGATTGATTCGTTATTTGATTGTGAACTTGAAACATTGTCTAATTTAAAAAAACACAATAAATAACAGTTAATTTTATAATATAACAATTATTAAAAACAAATAAATAGTACTATATATACCATTTAAATTATTTAAAGCAGGAGAAATATACTGTAAAGACATTATATCTAATATATAAATTAAATTTAGTATCTAATAAAATTTATATACAGTTCTAATTAATTGCCTTACTTTCAATTGTGCTTTCAGGAACCGAAGTTTCATTAATAATCGATTTACACTATAGAAAAAAGTAAATTATTTAATTAATAATTTATTAAATTAAACATATTTACAAAAATTAATATTTACATACTTTTCGTTTTAAAGATCTATATTTATTATTTGATGCTTTACGTTTCTTCACATTTTTTCTTGTTCCAAGACCAACTTTTGCTTCATTGCGCTAACCATAAAAAATTAACTTTATTTAGATTTTAATATATTTAATATAAAAAATTTCATTGCTAATATAATAGACTTTACCTGGATAACAAGATTATTATGATTGTTACTAGACGAAGCTCCACAAGTAATTTTTGCTCCGTTATGCTCATACTATTACTATGCTCATTATGCTCATTGCTATCGCTATATTCGTTATGCTTATTACTATCGCTATATTCGTTAGACTCATCAGGCTCGTCATACTCATTATTATCATTGTAATGCTCGGTAGTACTCGTGGCAATAGGTATAGTAGGAGTGGCAGCCACTGGAGAAGTGTCAGCAGCTGAAGGTACATCAGTTGGTAGAGAATTAACAGCAAGAGGCTCGTTATGCTTATCATTATTCTCACTATACTCGTTATTATCATTATAATCGGTAGTAGCAGCGGCTACTGGAGAAGCGACAGCAGCTGAAGGTATATCAGTTGGTAGAGAATTAACAGCAAGAGGCTCGTTATGCTTATCATTATTCTCACTATATTCGTTATTATCATTAGGATCGGTAGTAGCGGCGGCTACTGGAGAAGGTACGTCAGTTGGTAGAGAATTAGCAGCAAGAGGCTCATTATTATTGTTATGCTCGGAGACTTCTGAAATATTATTAACGTTGCTGCCCGTTCCATTATGCTATTAATTAAATATAATAATTATTATAATTAATATATATTAATATATAATTCATTAATACGTCTAAATAGAATTTACCTGATTATTATTATCGCTAATACTATCTAGAGAATTGTTATCTGAAGTATTCAAATTTAAAACCCTGACAGATTTGTCGACCAAAGTAATAATAGTTGCAGTATAAGTTACATGGTCAAAAACAATCGAAGAAATATTTTTGTTGTTTCTCCAAAGAAAGATGATAGTATTGTTTTCAATTTCTTCAGACATTGGGTGAGTATTGAGATATTTTTGTTCAAGTTTTTCAAAAAAAAAAAATAAACCGTAAAAAAGTTTTTTTTTTTCTCTCTAAAGACAATATATATATATTTGTATGAATATAATTATGCGACTACTTTTTATAAGCTTAAGTCATTATAATCATGTATACGGTGTAAGGTAAATATAGGTATAATGACGAATGTGAGTAAAATGACGAATTGAACATATTACACGAAACGGAATTTTTTGCTAAGTAAGCCTAACTTTACTTACTAAAGTTGTTTAACACATTATCTTTTACTTATCTCCAAATTTTGATACAATACAAATAATCTTTTATTAATAACTTTTTCATTATACTTTTAACGCAAAAATTGATTTACTGCGCCAAAATGTAGAAAAACCTATTAATAAAAAGTTATTTGTATTGCGTTAAAATTTGAAGGTAGGCAAAAAATAATATGTTACCTTTACTTAATAAGGTAGTTTTACTTAGTAAAAAGTTCTGCTTTTTGTATATAACAATCCTTAACTAAAGAAAATTGCTGAAGATAATTGAAACGTATTATCTGTTATGAGTAAATATATGTTCGTTATTTTATTATCACAAAATAAAGATATATAGTCTTCTAAGTAGCATCATGTAGTTTAAATAAATTCTGATTTTTTATATATAGAAAGAAGTAAAGAGGGTTTAGAGCTACATTAAATTAAATAAAAAGTTAAGGATATAAAGTTTTTTTCTAAAACTTTTATTAATGAAAAATGTTGACTTTATTGTATAATATCCACATTTACCTTATATGTTATTTTATAATAATAAGTTTAAAATTTTACATTTTTGCAATACGTAGTGACAAAATATTCTAAATCTAGTTATCATTAAGAAGGATTTTCATAATAAATCTCAAATTTATTTCTTACTATTACTATTAACGAGTATCAACGAGACTTTTATTGACAGAGTAGAAAGAATTAATAATTTTTTCTACTCTGTCAAAAAGCTTCGTTATACCTCGTTAATAGTATATACTAGTAAGAAATAAAATTTGCGATTTATTATGAAAATTCCTCTTAACGACCTATATTACAGTATTAACTAGATTTAGGATATTTTGTCACTATCACGAAAATATAAGATTTTCACAAAATAGTATTATTATTACATTTACATTAATATAAGTTTAAATTTAATATTATTTTATATCATTATACATACGTTGTAGTAATTACTCATCATTAGTCATAGAATTCCCCGATACTTTAAGTAGTCATATTGCTTGGAGATTCTTATCATAGTAGCAAAGCCCAAAGGCTATCTATAATGTATAAATAATCATTGAATTAATATAACTGAAAAGTAGTGTAGTGTAGAGTAGTGAAGTAATTATAAGTAGATCCTAGTGGCAGTAGTTCTCAGACCATATCTTTCATACCTTTTTTCGATTAGCCTGAGTTTTGTTATGATTTAAATTGCGAGCAATAGTCACCCCAGATCCACCATTTTACAACGTTCGTGGTCATGGATGTCCGCAATATCACGTGATAGATAATATATCTATTATCAGTGTTGGGCAAATTAGTGGTCGACCAAAAATTTGCTGGTCAAATTGGTCTGGTCAAATTGGTCAATTGGTCAAACTGGTCAAATTGGTCAAGCCTATTATATAAATATAATATATATATTATAAATAAATTATATTTAAATATTCTATTTGACCAATTTGACCAGTACAGATCCTTTGACCGGACCGGTCAAATTGGTCAAATTGGTCTGGTCAAATGGTCAAATTGGTCTGGTCCGCCCAACACTGATCTATTATATATAGATAATAATAATTTTAAAGTTAGTTAGTATTATCACACCATAATAAATTTAAACTTATTATATTTACAGTAGTTATATATTATAATTTAAACTTTTGTTATTGACACAATATATATTATATTATCATATATTTGCGGACATGGATGTCCGCAAGATCATGTGATAAATAATACATCTGTTATTTGGATTCGATTTATATTATTAACTAGATTTAGGATATTTTGTTACTATCGCGAAAATATAAGATTTTCACAAAGTAGTATTATTACATTATTATATTATTTTTATATCATTATACATACGTTGTAGTAATTACTTATCGTTAGCATAGAATCCCCTCGATACTTTAAGTAGTTATATTGCTTAGAGATTCTTATCATAGTAGTAAAGTCCCAAGGCTAACTGTAATGTATAAATAATCATTGAATTCATGTAACTGAAAAGTAATGTAGTATAGAGTAATGAAGTAAAAGTATTATAAGTATTATATAATAAAGATCATTGTAGTGAGGATCCTAGTAGTAGCCTCCTTTCGATTAGCCTGAGTTTTGTTATGATTTAGATTGCGAGCAATAGTCACCCTAGATCTACCATTTTACAGCGTTCGCGGACATAGATGTCCGCGAGATCATGTGATAAATAATACATCTATTATATATAGATAATAATAATTTTAAAGTTAGTTAGTATTATCACACCATAATAAATTTAAACTTATTATAT